GGGGGGGGGGGGGGGGGGGGGGGGGGGGGGGGGGGGGGGGGGGGGGGGGGGGGGGGGTTGCCCTCGGTCACACTGGCGCGGAGAACGAGCGGGGGCACACAGCAGTTTGCTCCAAGCCGGGCTGGACAAGGCTAGTCGTATTTATTGGAATATTTCAACCCGCTTCAAGTTGCAGCCAACGAAAACTCCGATGGTCTTGAGGGGTGGCGGGGTTCGCGATTTGTTTTGTTGGCCGGGATTGTCGCCGGCAGGGCTTCTCGCTATGTATGCCTTGATTTTTACATTCCTGCGAGAGAAGCTGCGACGTTCCGTGTGCCATGTGTGGTCCTCCCGTAGTGTGTGAGTAGATGTTGTTACATGTTCGGCGGGAGGAGGTGCCCCGTTCCGCGTGTTGTTTCATTGGCGTGTGAGTAGTGTCGGTGAATGTGTGTGTTGTTGGCTCCTCTGTCATCGCCCGACCCCGCTGGGCGGCCGCCGAGTGAAAAACACGACGGCGGCCTCGGCGGGCAAAATGATGCAAGAAGGTCTCTTGCCTAGCGGCGTGTATGAGTGAATTCTTGACATGGTCGCAAGTGGCCCATGATGTGAACATGTTTCGGGGAGTCTTTGCGTCGCCATCGCATGAACCGGAGCTCTGACGAAATCGAGATTGCCTCCGTCTACACGCGGTTGGGACGACAGAGATCAAGCGCCCATTATGCAGTGAACGCTTTTTTGTCCACGGGGGGGCAAAGTGGGCGCGGGCCCCGAAGTTTGGTTTGTGGCGTACTGTGGCTTCGCTGTTGGAATTTTGCTACAGAGGATATTCGGTCACTTACCAACGAGGGGGCGGTGGTTGTCGTTTGCTACAGGATTTGAGATTAGAGGGTGGCGAAGGCATGGATGAGGGCCGCTACAAGGTACTTCCTGCTCTTTCGATGTCCTGATGGTGATACGAGGGCAAGAAGACGCATATTCTGTTTTTCGTTCCTACAACTTGTGAACAACACAAAGTGGATGTAATGACAGGTATTGAGGTATTGATGAGCTGAAAGCAGGCACGAGAGCGTTGCCATTGAGGCAAGCATCGGCCTGTCGGAATTCAACGCGAATAATATTCCATCCCTTTCAATTGAGGGCTGCTGTTATGGGTTACAGGAGTGAGGTGGGGGGTGTCGAGGCCTGCTTGGAGGCACTCACCACTGCTGTGTCCATCCTCCTTCGATTCTCTGACGGGGTTGCGAGGGAAGCAAGAACCACATGCTGCGACGTCGTGTTTTCAATGATTGTACAAAATGAAAAAGACCAAAATATGCGGGTGTATTCACGGGTGCTAAGTTCTTGATGCGCAGAAAGAAAGCGGGGAGGAAAGTGGTGCCAAAGAGGCTGGCTCTGGCCAATTGCATAACGAAGGATAGAGCACGCACGACACAGTATATTGTAGACCTTATCGTCGCTTCCGCTGGTCGGCTCGATCACACCGAAACTATAAACTGAAGACAATCAACAACAAACGCCTGAGTCCATCAAGTCTTGGAGTTGACCACTCACCCTAGGCTTCACTGCACGCCCCAGGCTCCCTATTCCAACACAAGTGCAATATCGAATCGGCACCGTGCATCTTCACGGCCAAGAAAAATCCGACGTGTCGCGACTGCCGAAATGTTCTCCACAGCAAGCACAAAGACGGACCGGAGCAAATTATCACCCAGAATCGAAGTTGGCAACGCCGCCATCGCCACCCATATTGTTTGTTACAGCTTGAAACAACCAAGACGTTCATCAAGTTCCTTGAGCACGCACTACGATATGGTTCCGCGCGTTGAGAAAACCATGGCGTTCCGTGGCTCCGCGCGTTGAGCAAACCATGGCGTTCCGTGGCTTTCCCGGAAACGTCGAAAAAGTGGTACTGCATGAATGCATTTCATCCGCCGTGACACAGCAGCGCGAATACATAATGAAACTTTTCCACACAGACAGCCTAGCCACCTTCAGAAAAGAATCCGCCGTGCCATTTGCTATATTCACAAAACTGAAAAAGTTACTGCTCAACAGACGTAGCTCTCGTCCCTTGCCGTTGTCATGACTTCCAAAGCTTTAGCAGCCCTTCGTTGCTGAACGTCGCCAGCAAGTTCCTGCCAGGAGGAACAGGACCGAACAAACAGCACATAGAGCGCGGTGACGGGTGGGTGGAGGATGAGCAGACGCGGTCGAAAGTGCAGCGCGGTCACTCTTCGCGATATTGCGTCACCCTGAAATGCCCCTCCCACTCATCGCTTCCACGAGCACGTGCACCGTTGTGTTCATGTCACCAGATTCTTGATACATCACACGCCCGCGGGTATTGTCGCCGAGGGCAGCACGGTGGCAAATGTTCCAATCAATGACTGATGCCTTCGAACAAAGGGCGCACTTACGCCATCTCGTGCAACGAGAACGACACCATTCGCAGTGCTTGTACAATGGTATACCTGTGGGGGTGATGCGCCAGGCCGATGATCTCCTTCTCCGACACCTTCAGCGTCTTCTCAACCTCGGTCGAGGCCGCGTCGAAGCAGAACAACTCCCCGTCTTCCCCCGCGCAGTACACCCACCGGCCCTTGGGAGACAGGCACGCGCACGTGAAGTCTGCGCGCACAGACTGTTCCGCGGCACAACGTTCAAGGATTTGGGGGTGGCGGGGTCATGTTCTGTCTCGAGGTAGCCGGACGGAGTTTCCATCAACGAGTAGTTCAATGTCCGGGTAGGTAGTACGGTGCAGGTACGACATCTGTTGCGGTGCGAAGGAAAGCTTGAAACACGACAAACCCGCATCTCGAGAACGTTGAATCGATGTCCCCGTCACTTCCTGAACTAAAACGACGTTCTACCTTGAGACTTGATGTTCGTTATTCACTCCCTACTCGAGCTTCTCTCCTGCTCAATACGGGAATGGACCCGTGGTCTCTGTTCACTGGTTCCCGCGTCTCTGAAACCACGAAAGGTAATCAGTCTGCTTGCCGTGGAACCCCCGCGCCCCTCGCTCCTGCCAGCTCTCCATGGAGCTATTCCCAACCTCTTCCACACCATGGCAACAGCACATGGATGAGCTGTACATTTCGCCCGTCTACGGATCAAACACCGGAAGGGACGGCGTTCAAATGGATGTCCACAAACCAGGATACCAAACAGACGTATTGCGCGGCCGTCGGATCCCCTCCTGCCCTGCCGCTGTCCCGAGGCTTCACAAGCACCGTGCGATGCACGCATGACATATGTCTCAACGTGCGGCAGTCGGCCATAATACGACTCAAAAAGTCATGCAAACCCCTTATCCCCGAATGATCTCTCTCCGTCTCTCTGTCTCTGTCTCTGCTCTCTCCCGCACCTTTGGGCTCGTGAAGCTCCGCACCACCTGTCCCTGCAGGGTGCAAAGGAAGGCCGTAGAAGTTCGGTTGGACACCAGCACCTGCTCGGCGGAGCCCGGCAGGGGGCGGACCGTGTGCACGCTGGCCTCCGTGTGGGAGCCGATGGACAGGGCGGGGTGGAACGTGTGTAGATTCTCGGTCGTCTTCGCATCCCACACCTGACATGAACCACAAAAGACAGCAAGTGGCGATCGAGAGTTCAACAGGGCGGCGGATGTCCGAAAGGTCCCGTGCCCACGTAGCTTTTGTGCAAAACAATAGGCCGCGCTATCGGTGTCGATTTCGTGAACGAAAAGGGAGTGGTAGAACGGGAACACTGTAGTGCAGGACCTCAGCTTTGGAGTGAAATACGTGACTCGTGCCAGCCGCGGTAGATACAGCGGTGGCGGCAAAAAATGCCAACATCGCGTGACTCTCATACGGACGAAGTCCACGAAAACAAGCTATCATGGCGTGCACGACCCGGAAGTTAGAGACAATTGTCGGGCTGGCGCCCCGCAAGTGAATGCTTCACTAGCGATGGATCGAACACTGCAGAGCAACTGGATTTCTGTACAAACGGACGTCATCCGAATGACTTGCACTTGCAGGACAGCGATGGTGGATACTTGCGGTCTGTACGGGGAGCCTGCGCTCCCGATGCTACCACGTTCTAGTATTGCCATACCAGGTTCGTGGGGAATGAGTCTCTTGCACGCGACTGGAATCGAGTGAAAATGACTCCTATCTCAGTGTGCTTAAGGTGTTGTTTTGGCCGTGGTGGAAACAGGATTGAAACAAAAAGGCTCTGGGTCGCCTGGTGTCCACCTCTTTGTAACAAATTGTGTGACGGTTTTGGTTCATCCGAATGAATGGACCTGCGACGGTTCCTCCCGTAGTGAAATTCGAGTGAAACTGAACCCGGAATTGCCACCATCCAAATAAAATGTTGATGCGAGTGGAGGCCGGAATGAAAAACAATGTTCCGTTGGAAGCGTAGTAGGTCATGAAAAATGATCAAACAATCGAAAATCTGCAACTCGGTCAAACCGAGTCTAGCCAAACATACCAATATGGGTGCTGATTCGGTGTCGAGAGTGACAAGTGTAGCCAAGGAGACGTCGAGTTCATGGAAAAAGTGGTGCCGTCGCTCTCGAACTGTGAAACTTGTTGGTTTGAGAAGATTGAGTGCCTTGCAAGGGAACCCGAATGAGAGATGTTCACACCTCTGATGGTACCGTGATTTCATGGTTGAGACCATGGTGACCGGTGACAGACGAACTGAAAACCATGCAAGTTCTAGGCCGCCTCGCGTCTAACTTGCCGTGATCATCAGTATTCAATTCGCTCGAACGAACTGGGGCGGTGGTTCAAACATCAACCTGTGGAAAGGTTTCTAGCGATGCGGGAAGTGTGGCAATGTTGCCGATCTAAAACGAACATGGCAGTCTCAAGACCGGAGTGAACAATTCATGCACTTGGATATTCTGTTCTCCTGTGGGTATAAGTGCAATAAAACATGCAATCTCAATTGACCGGAGTGCAGCCCTCGAGGGGGCGGTGCGGGCGAAGTTGGAGTCTGGGAAATGAATCACGGTCGAAAAAACCCGAGAAATTAATATTGACTCGCGCATTTGATGCACATGAGACCATGGTGACAGCAAACTGAAAGCCGCGCAAGTGGTGAGTCGCCTAGCGATAGCTCTCCATGACAGTGAAACGTTATGGAGTGAATGAACTAGTGCTCTTATTCACAAAGCAACTTGCGACAAAGTCCTAGCCGTAAACTGCAATGCACTAGTGAACGTGGGACTGAAACTGTCGCAAAAAACAACACTGATGTGAATGCCGGAGTGAAAAAAATGTGCATTAATTTATATTGGCATCGGCTTCACGGCCAAAGGGCGGCGGTCGTTCTGGCAAATGGGATCATAATGTTCCCGGGCAATGAGTCTCGAGCGCGTGAACCAGGGTTAGAAAAACTAACAAATCTAGTGCGATTGGGTCGTCGTTGTGGCCATGGTGGCAGCAGAACTGAAAGCCGTCTAGGCAACTGGTGTCTGATTCTTTGCGATGGCTTTCGCGAATTTTCGGTTCATACGACTCAACGAGAGCACTGCTAAGGCACCAAGAGTTTTGGTGGATAGTGAAATGCCAGTGAAAATGATCCTGGAGCTGTCGATCGAAAATTCATGTCAACACCAAAGTCAACACCAAAGTGAAAAAACTATTTCTCGGTCACAGAAGCGGCATGTGTGCAGTCGAAAAAAAGTGGAAAAAAGCTGCTAATCGAGCCAATGGTAGCGACTGAGACGTGAGCTTCATGGTGAAAGCGGCGCGGGGGTTCTGGCACGCATTGTGGATGGGGTTCCCGGGGATTAAGCCTTGTGCGAGTGAATATGACTGAATCTGACTATCGCTCACTCAATTGGGGCTTCGTTGCGGCCATCGCGACAGCAGAACTGAAAGCCACTAACGTTCTAGGTTGCCTGCCGTCTGACTCTCTGTCAAGATTTATGAAAATTCGGTTCGCACGCGAATGAAGTGGGGCGATTGTTCAAACAGTACCCTGTGACAGTTTATGCGGCCGTGAAGTGCGAGAGTGAAAATCAGCCCAAGTGATCAGTAACTGCCCAGGCCACGGGAATGCAATATTTGAGGTTGTAAGACGAGGCCTATATGGGGATTTGTATGGAAGAAAAAAGTTCCACGGATCGACCCAGTGGAAAGCCGCCGAGGCGTCGGCATCATGGTTGAATGGGAGGAATCGTTCGTGGATAAACACTACCATGTACGCACCAGTTGGGAGGGATGCTGGTGCGTTGTACTGACGACCACAACACAGATCCAACAACTGTGCATCGGACGAAATCCGCCTCAGACCGAAAGCGCGGAGACGTGGAGAAATACTGAACTCGACCATGTACAGAGGAAGACACCCTAACGCTCACCTTTACCGTGCCGTCCGCTGACCCGGTGACCACCTTAGCACCGTCGTGCATGTACACCGCGGTGTTCACGTAGGACGTATGACCCTGGGCACAGAGCGATCGCAGCAGCAGCAGCAGCAGCAGGGAATGAATTTACAGCGCTGGGAGGAGGGAGCGACACCGACCGTGAATGGTACCCAAGTACATCGCGGAGGCTGCCTCCGGCAGGACCCCCTTGACGCGAGCAAACAGCACGACACAATCTCGCTGTACTCGTCGAATGCGCGGAAATCACGCCGCCTGCCGAAACGACACCACAACATTGGCGAGGCACCTTCGCGTCTCACTCATCAGTCTCCCTCGTAACCCCCACCTCAGGGAGTCTACCAATGACGAGTCCATCAGGGAGGGAGCCCGTATCCAAGCAAGGTAACTTCTTAAGCATGTCCAATATATGAGGCACTCGAACACCAAAAACGATGTGAAAACTTGTGGGAATTATGGAGAGGAACGTCGTCCATTCGAAGAAACTTTGCCTTGATGATGAGCACAAAATCGTCTCACTCAAAAGGGAAAGGGATCGTGTTTCTGGGCGGATGCATTGCTCCCCTTGCTCACACGGTTTTGTGCCCTTTCAATGCTTACACACTACGGTCCCGGTAAGTGAGTTTCGCGGCATCTGCTAGGACGAGCTCCAATAAAAACATTAAAACTCAACAGAAACGGTGATACTCCCTATTGGTTGTGGAGACCACCGGCTGCGAAAATCGCAACCCGCCTCACAGGGGCAGCCGAAGCTAAGGTTCCCCCCCCCCCCCCATCGGTGACCGGTCCTGTGGGAACAATGCCGCGTCTTCTCGAGGACGCGCGGTCAATGTTCTAACAGAAAAGGCAGGCAAAAACATGAGACCCCCCTCCCTCCTTCCAAGGATGCTATCTTTACCCGGAATTCCTTGAGCATCTTCCCGGACTTGAGGCCGTGGATTCGCGCCGTCTGGTCCATGGAGGACGAGAGCAGCTGAGACCCGTCCCTCGCGAAAGCCACGGAGGTGACCCCTTGCGTGTGCGCGCTCTCGAAGCGCCTGAGGCACTGCCCGGTGGACACCTTCCAGACCTTCACCTTGCCATCCTGACGAGCAAAAGTAAGACGGGCGAGGAAGGAGCTGGGGTACTCATAGCCGTGCATGCCGTAGTCGTTAGACCATTTGCGTCGCATCCCTACAAAGCCGGGGCGGAGCACGTCGGGTTCTCACCGAACCAGGTTCGCACGTCATCAAGGGGAACGGGGCGTGTACTCAAGTTTCGCACGCCGTAGTCGTTAGGCCATTGTGCATGCGTCCTCGAGGGGGCGAAAAGGAGGGGGGGGGGGCACTCATGCAAACGCATGCCGTAGCCGTTACGCCATTGCCGTCGCATCCCTACAATGTCGGGACGGAGCTACATGCAGGACTTTCGCCGGCCCAGGCTACATTCCACAAGTATGAACCAGAACCTGGGAGGGTGGGAGAGGAAGCTGTGCAGGGGAATCGAGAAGAGCACGGCAGCGCAGCGAAATCGGGGTTTGCAACAGCCGAAAAGCCGATATCCACGAGGAATACAAATCATGGTACTCTGTGTGCACGTCAATCCCTTGAAAAACAACTGAAGATTGGGGCCGCCCCGTGTACCGAAATCTCTCCGGCAAACATAACAAACGCGACAACAAAGAAGCCCCGTCTCGACAGCAAAAAAAACAACAGCGCTTACGGTGCTGCCGGTGGCCAGGTGCTCGCCGTCCCTGCTGAAGGAACCGCAAAGGACTGCCTTGTCGTGCATCATGAACTCGTCCTTGGCCTGGTACGCCAGGTCCTTGCGCAGTCTGCACGTGTCGAAATCCCATACCTGTGGTCGGGCGTCGGGCACATGTTGTTTCAATTCTCTCCTCTTGTTTCTGTTTCACTTTTTTGGCTTGTAATTTTGGCGTGGACGTTCTGTAGCGCCTAACTTGGCGTGTGGCGCCAGTTTTTGGTCGTCTTGGCTTGTCTTCTCAAGCTGTTGCTGTTTGGACCACATGTGTGGTATTTGTTGAATGGTTTGTTTGTTTCGCATTGCGTCCTTCCGTTTCGCTTTTTTCAAGTTCCGGTTCAGCAGGAGCGCACAGAAACGCCCCGAGTTGCGTCCGGGGGCAACGCCAACCTCCCGGTGCTCTCCCAAGCGGGAAGCATCCACGTTTCCCACCTCACACATTCCGTCGTGACAGCCTGTCACATTGACGCACACCCCATCGAGGAAAAAAAAATGATGGCGGAAACAAACGACAACCTCGGGGGACGGCAGGACGTCTGGCCAAGTTTCGATCAGAAAACAGGCCATGATTTACCCACGAACGGCAAACAGGATTCAAGATCTCAGGAACGCAACATCACCTCGACGAAGCCGTCAACGCTGCCGGAAGCCAGGTACTGCCCGTCCGGGCTAAACTGTGCCACCTCGGGGTGACTCTTCGTACCTGTGTAACAGATACCGATCCGCCGTTTGTGGGGACGCCGACGGGGTGACGCAAAGCGACGGACTGTGAGAGAGCTGCCAACCCAAGCAGGTGCAAGCTCAATGCGTCAAACGAAGCACCCTTGTTAGAGGATTCAAGTAGATTGGAAGAGGTTTCAAGTATATCCAATTACAAACAGCAGACGAGCGATTTGCGCAAGCAGAGAATAGCTGTAGATGCCATACCGATCAACGCCAAACGCGCACATACCCGAACCGAACCACAGATTATCTGTCTGTACCAAACAAAACCTCGCGCGTGGCTTGAGGACGTGCCTGAGCGCAAACCACAGATCACACGAGCACATTGGCAGCACAACCGAGAAAGCAAGACACACTCAACTACCACACGAGAGGCGCAACCATTTCCGCGCACCCTCCATGCGACTCGTCGAATACCTCACGGCGCTCCGCGCTGGGTGATGTGAGAGCCTGGGCCGGTCAGAAACCCGGCCATCCCGGTTCACATCACAGGGATGCGAGGCCAATGGCCTACCGACAACGGCATATACCCCTCTCTCACCGAACTTAATTTGGCCGGCCATCTTCCGGGGAGGCTTCTCCTCCATATCCTTCTTGCTCGCACGGGCGCCGCCTCTGAAGAGGTCGAACTTCTGGCCCCTGGGCAAAAGGCCCTGCACCTGCTGCCACTTCAGGGCCTGGTTCACCAGCGCCAAGAGACGACTCGGCGGGACAACGCTCACCTGTGTGTGTGTGTGTGTGTGTGTGTGTGTGTGTGTGTGTGTGTGTTTTGGTTATCAGCATCGAGCGTGCTAAACAGCTGACCAACGAAAAGACGTCAGTCTTGTTTTATGTGCGTGATACGGTGCGTGAGAGGGTGCAAGCTTAGACAAAGCTACAATAGACCGCGGACACTCGCGGACCAACAGAACGGCAGGCACTATCATAGTCTTTGCAGGAGAACATAAGTTTTAGCGGACGAGTTACCGCGCTCGCGCGTACCACATGATTCGGTATGGATGCATCCTCCATCACTCTGACCAACTGATCAGTGAAAAGACGCCTGTATCAGAGGGAAAAAAAACGCTGCGTTTGCTAAGGAGGAATCCGGAGCGTATGTACGTCTGCGGAGCATTACATGGAACATGAAATGCTCGATATTCTGGTTTAGGGGCGTGCCGTAGCACTGAGAAGGTCACGCGCAGAGAATAAGCCATACGATGCGGCGACTCATGCGGTTCTCACAAGGCTAAAATAAAGCATCAATATCACGTCGTCGCAGGAAAAAGGCGAGACTCGGGCGAGAAGAGACCACGAGGGGGAAACGTCACGCGAACTTAATGTGCCCTTTCCAAGTGCTATCGTCGTCAACAAGTGCTGTTGCAATTGATACAGGTGCGTCTTTCCTTGTAAACCAAAACCAGTACTTACAGATTTACAGTATGGATGACAACCAACGCGCATCTTTCACGCACCTTTTGAGCCAACGCCCCGGTATTCTAGGCACGCAGCGAGCGGAGCCCGAAAAAAAACACACCCCTGCCGCACTCGACATGAAAATCCACCCTGTTATCCGCCTCCCACCTTCTGCCACGTAGGAGGAACGACTGGCCATCGGCGATTGGTCCTGAGGTAACAATGCTCCGTCCGCTCAAGGACTGCCGCGTGGTCAATGGACTAACAGCTACAAGTGAGGCATGCAAAATAATGAGTGTGCCCCTCCGTTCCCGGCTTTGTAGGGATGCGAGGTCCACGGTCTAACGACGACGGCATGCACGGCTCCCCCCAACCCTGGCAGCCCACCTCAGGGATAAGCATGTTGGCAATCTCCGCTCGGCGCTTTTCCTTCGAGCTCCCTGCAGGGTACAAGTCTCGCGGGTCGATGGCGGCGCCTTTCTGCAGCCAGTGCTCCAGCCGAAGATACCTATCGGGCTCCTCCTTCTTCATCTGAAGGAACGGGTCGGCCGTGCGCAAGATCTCCCTGTTCTCCGGAGATGCGCAAAGCGAAACGATGGCAACAGGGACACGGGGGGTGGGGTTCCTTGAGGCATGTTTAGTGTAATACCGCCAAAAGGATGCATCGCACCATTGTAATACTGAGCAATGGGCACGGCGGTTAGCAACAGCACGGGATTATGCGGGGGTAGACTTCGTGCAATACCGCAAGAGGATTTATCGAACCATTGCACTACCTCAAGAGGGTGGATCGCACCACGTCAGGGGGGTTATATCCCTACATACCTGGCGACGTCCAGCTCCCTCATCTCAAGCAGCTCCAGCACCAGCTGCTCGTACACCGCCACGAGCTTGGCCAGAGGAAGAGACAGCGACGACACCTGCCGCCCCAACAAGAAACGCCAAGGCCGAGACGAGGCATAGTAAGGCTACACCAGCATCACCACAGCCACCATCACCAGCAGCAGGACGGTAAACCGGCATCACCAGCAGCAGCAGCAGCAGCAGCAGCAGAGGGCCTCGGCAAGACAAAGGCCCAGCCTTCTGAGACACGTCCTGATCCTTGTCCAACATAGAGGTCGGTCTAACGCATGACAGCAACAAGTTGACGCCGCGTTTAGACCACAGCATAAAGCATCAGTGTACACCATGAGCGAGAAAAGCCCGGTGGGCGCAACACAGGTATCCCGTCAGGGAAAGAGACTATTTTCGAAGTTTGTGTGACGGAGGTGGGTTTCCGCACCTGAGGCATGACCGCCTCCCAACGCCCGTGGTTGATGTCGCTCATGAGGTTGTCCAGGTTGTCGATGGTGTTGAGACACACGCTAGACTCCGCCTGAAGAGCCCTGAGCGTCTTGGTCAGGTTGTTCTCCTGGCATGAATGCATTGGGCGTGCGAGTGAAACTGCGGGGTGACGTTGCGCAACGAACCGTTGCCTTTCCCGCGGTAGCCTTCGCGAGTGTATGCTTGGGCTTTGCAGGGGGTACGGGCTGGGGTCAGGGATAGGGATACGGATACGAAACCCCTAAATCTAATTCGCAGATTGATGAAAATAATTCTCGCGAAGGGGGTCCATTTCTTACGTGTTCGGAAGTTGCACTTCTGTTGCCTGGACACCGGCACTGTACGTTTCATAAGATACCACCCCCCCTGGACCCAATTTCAAACCTCTACTGTGCTGTTCCACGAAGAGGATGTCGAAATCAAATTGATGTATTTTCAGAAAGCTCTCGACGAGAGAGCAGTTCCAACGCCGCCATTTCCGACACGACCGCTGTTCCTGCCAGGTGTAACGGAGATGATGAAAATCGATCCAGGGGGTGTATCTTCAGCACCCCACGTATGCACCCCCTTGATATGCGTCTCGTACACGGTGAGATAATATATATCTAGGGCGTAACGGCGGTTTGTGTGTGACTGTTGTGTGACGACTGCTGTTGGTGCATATGCATCCTTACATGCATTTCGAAAAGAAGCGCATTCACAGCAGTAGTAGACGTGCATTGATGAGGTCCACATTGAGTGTGGAGGGTGACCACTCCAACGGCATGACAGCAGCGATGGAACACGGGGTGCTTGATGAGTACTCGGCTGTGCAACACAGCAGTGTTACTGCTGTAAACAAGGAAGCCCCATGTAAGCAACAAAGGACATGACGTTGTCATCGTCCGCTGACCATCCACGAGCAACTCCAGCAGCACCAACTACTGCAACAGCGTCTTCGCCGATGTTGGCGGGTGGCTCGTCCACATCGCGACGTTGCAGCTGATGCTGCTTCTGCGGTTGAGAGGATAGCTCCCCCAACAATCGCTTTCCGTTCCGCGTGTACCGCGCTGTGACCCGTACTTTGCGAATCTTGAAAGCTTCTCTGCAAAACCAACGCAACACACCGCAATGCAGCCGTCTTCCCGTCGATCTCCTGCCATCACTGGCTCGGGTCCAGCGTACAACAGCAGTGCACCCATAGTCAGGATCCTCGCGGCAGCAGTACACTACAATAATAGGACCCCTGCCTGGTGCTACCATTTTTGGGAAAGAGAGACGCACCTTCAGGAACTGTAGGATGAGCCGAATGACATCCTCCGATTCCACCTCGAAGCTCATTGTTGTTGATGGACGAACAGCAGAGCTGAGCAACGCCTTCAGCGGTAGTCGTGCGGTGTGTGTACGGTGCACAGGGTGTTCGGTGTCCCACAGGGTCCAACCTCCTGCGGTTGCCGAACCCTATTTCCGCGGAGCCCCCACCGAAGGAAAACGAAAGGAGGCGTGTTTGAGTCCCATGCAGAAAGGGGTGTTGACTACAACAACCCTGAAGCTGGGGCGTACGCCAGAAGCGCCTCTCTCCGAGCACTGCACTCCGAGAAAGTGATGGGGGATTGACGCTTGTATAAGCTGGGTTACGTGTTTAGATGTGGTCCACGCATACAGCAGAGTCTGCGCACTGCACTCTCAACGCGGGACATTTTTTGTGAAAGAAGAGGAGCAGGTTGGAGTAGGTTGAGAATTGAGAAAAAGCTGTGGAAGGGCTGCCAAAGTGGCGAAGTGGCGAAGCGCTTCCGGTACAAGCTACAGTCAAGACTGCACCGTACGCATGCCAAGGTTGTGGAACAACAACAGTGAGCGCCTGTGGGCCTACATGCACTGCGCAACGTACTACAGCAGTTGTAGACTAGTACTTTCTGCTGTGGAGCGTTGTCTGTCGTCGACGAGACGCATCGATCAGCGTCCAGTACAACAACAGAGTGGCAAAATTGGACACCGACCACGATTCATAGCAGCGAGCGAACGTTGACTATGAACGGGGGGACAAACTATGTTGTTGTCGTCGTTGTTGTTATTGTTTATGTCTTCACATTAAAAACCTTTCTACGTTCTCTCTGCCCAGTACCTTCTTCTGTCCGTACTAGTCTAACACTTGACGGGGTCGATTCCCGTGGTCACTGGTTAGCTTACCCAAAAAAGGGATACGACTACGGAACTGAATATTTCCATATTATCACTCAATGAAAGTTCCCCGCGACACTCTGTGTTAATGTGAAAAAAAGCAAGAAGTACAACACAGTGGGCGCCCCGGTTTAGCGGCCCGCTGTTTAGCGACGTGCCCTGTTCAGCGACCCCAAAATCTCGTGACACCGCTGCACCCCGGCTTAGCGACCCCTAAACCGGTCGAACCCTCAATAGCGACTTACTTGGACTGTATCAGCGGGCAATAGCGACCATCGGTTCAAATTTTTGCGGAGACCCCGCGTTCCTCCACACACAAAGACACAAGACCGCGGGACACGTACACACATGCAACATGCCGTGCGCCGATGGAGAGTTGCGCAAACAGCCGGATGTTGAACTGCGGGCACCCCCGGGGCATGCTTGCCATGGTGGCTACGGTGGACGCCTGCATATGATGTGTGGGGAGGTGGAGGTTCTCGATGGCATCGAGATGCACCGCACCTGCCAAGAGTGTGCATCCAAGAAAATGCAGGCTTCCCCACCCGTCTCGAATCCACTAAACGAAAACGAGAAATAGAGGTAGATGGTACTGGAGAAGTTCGCGGTGCGGGGGATAGGGAAGTGATGGCGCCGCCGCCCTACTCGGAGTTTTCGTCGCATTTTGGATCGCTTGAAGAATGTGAGGATTCGTGGACTAGTCTAGACTAAGTGAGGTAGCGTACCATCTTGGCAAGGCAAAGATGCTGTTCATCGAAGCACACTCCGCGAAACCAGCGCGACAGATGGACATCAGAGACATGCTGAGTTAAACATGATCGGTAACACAGCAGCAGCAGAATGAAGTCACTAGCAGCGCGAGATTCTTTGCCACCTGGGCGTTCACGAACTCTCTCTGTGCCAGCATAGAGTCCGAAGGTGTCGGGGGTGTTTTGATACAGACGCCGTTCAGCGTGAGAAGGACCGAGCTGTATGGTTGTCGTCTTGTTGGCTGTAGGCGTTTCAGATGGCGATGCCTACGTCGCACTCGTTGAGGATTCAACAGCTAAGAAAGAGAGTTCAAGAGTAGTTTCGGTCGCCTTGGTGAGTCGGGACATGGATACTCTCAACGTCTGCGTATTTTACTTGCGTTGCGCTTCAGCTTCTTGATGGGCTCCGACTGTTGACGATGACATTCAGCGTCTAAGTGCGTCCGTGAGTTACGGGACGAGTACCACTCACTACAGAGAGGGCCCGGAGATAAGAAGCGTCGAAAATGGGCCGAGCCTTGATTTCTTATTCTGGGCAGCAGGACCAGCCGAAGTCGTCCACATGAAAACGGGTTTCTTGTTCCTTTTTTGGGCTGTCGAATCCTGCTGCTGATTTCTTACATTCTTACTTCGAGTATTTTTTTATTTCAAGCGAAGAAAGCAACCACACACGAAGTCGTCATGCACAATTAAACCGACAGCTCGGTGTGGCGATTACTGGTGGTTGTGGCAGTACAGCAGCAGTGGGTAGCGCAGCCTGCGGGGGCTCTGGGGCACGAGGGGCGCCGCGGAAATAGCCTTCTCCCCCCCTACCAAAAAGTTACATGACATGAGCTAGGTAGGAGATGGGAGCATGTCAGCAGCAGAAACAGTGGGGCGTTTCTTGATGGACACGCTCCCCCCCAGCTTCTACCTCTTGTTTCTTTTGTCTGAGGTATCGCACGATCGATCATGTTTCTTGTTGGGACGTTTCTTACTCCCTCTGTCCGAGAATATAAGCAAGGTTTGGACAAAAAGCAATAGAACTCGTGTCTGCCGAACTCTTTTTCCGAACGGTTTTTTTTTCTGGTTCCGCCGCACTGGCGCGCAGCGCGCAGAACCGCTGCTCTTTTCACACCACCTCAACAAAGTGTGTTGCACCCCAGCACAACACGCCCGATTTCACCACCCCAACTTTGGAGCCCCGGTCAAACGCCTTCCCGTCTGCTGGCGGGACATGTCTGCTGCTGGGAGTGCCTCCCAGGGGCTCAAACGCAAGAATTTCAACGTTTCGGAGAGAGAAGAGGTGGTACGCTACCTTCTCGCCGACAGCGAAGACGGGGTTCGGCAGCATGGTTCGTACCACAGAGCCGCGGAGAAGTACGGGTGCCATTGGGAGACCATAAAGAGGATTTGGCAGAAGCACGAGAAGCGGGAGGAATCTGGAGATCCTAGTTTGTACATTGGGAACGACCGCAAGGGCCATTCCGGCTGCAAGGGCATCGATATTGAGAACCTACGTGCCCGCCTCCTTGAGATTCCGCTGAACGAACGCACGACACAGCGCCGCCTGGCCGCGGCGCTCGGGATTCCCAAATCCACACTGCACAACAACCTCAAGGCGCTTGGATTGAGAGCGCAGTACCCCGTATCCGACGAGGCGTGGCTGAAAGGGACGGCGGCACTCGCGGCGCTGGAGGGGCAAGGGGGGGCCGCAGGAGGGCGAGGGGGGGCCGCAGGAGGGCGAGGGGGGGCTGCAGGAGGGCGAGGGGGGGCTGCAGGAGGGCGAGGGGGGGCTGCAGGAGGGCGAGGGGGGGCTGCAGGAGGGCGAGGGGGGGCTGCAGGAGGGCGAGGGGGGGCTGCAGGAGGGCGAGGGGGGGCTGCAGGAGGGCGAGGGGGGGCTGCAGGAGGGCGAGGGGGGGCTGCAGGAGGGCGAGGGGGGGCTGCAGGAGGGCGAGGGGGGGCTGCAGGAGGGCGAGGGGGGGCTGCAGGAGGGCGAGGGGGGGCTGCAGGAGGGCGAGGGGGGGCTGCAGGAGGGCGAGGGGGGGCTGCAGGAGGGCGAGGGGGGGCTGCAGGAGGGCGAGGGGGGGCTGCAGGAGGGCGAGGGGGGGCTGCAGGAGGGCGAGGGGGGGCTGCAGGAGGGCGAGGGGGGGCTGCAGGAGGGCGAGGGGGGGCTGCACGAGGGCGAGGGGCGGCTGCAAGAGGGCAGGGAGGGGCGGCTGCTGCAGGGCAGGGAGGGGGGGCTGCAGGGGGGCCAGGGGCGGCGTAGAATGAGGTGGTTGCGGTGTACTCCGGAGTATGCAGTAGATCGTGTGACCGAGAAGTAGCAGGGAGCGGCTGCAGTGGGGCAAGGGGCGGCCGATTACGGTTTCGCCGGACTGTGTAAACGGAGACGGCTGCCATGGAGTAGAGTTGTTTGGCTACCGAGGCTGATGGGCAGGCGCAGAAACAGGCAGCAGGTTCGGGGCGCGGGTCATGTTGGTTTTCTATGATGACGTGAACACGGGGATGATAATTAACCATCCCCTCCCTTTTCGTGATGCTCCATGTTTTTTCATCCAAAAAGTGGCGTTATGTCTAATTCTAGCTCTTCGAAGTACTTTCATCACACTGGACAGATATTACGTCCTGTCGCTGGGTATGCCAAAATTCCGCCTTTTCCCGGACCAGGGGATGGTAACGCACCATCCCCCCCCCATCGAGCGGATTTTTTTTTTTTCTCTCTCCAATGTCATATGTGATCGTTTGCCAAAGTTGTCCGACGTCCACCGTGCCCAAATGGCACGTTTCCGTCAATATTCTTCAAACCTTGCTTATATTCCCGGATTTCCAAACCTTGCTTATATTCTCGGACAGAGGGAGTATGTTACAACCGAGATTGAGCTGTATTTCTTTGCCCTTGTTTCATATTTTCCGCAAACATTTGAGCCTTTGTTCGTGACCGATTTTTTTCTTGATTGCGCCCCCCCCGGTTGGGTCGATTGGTGTTGGCTAGTTCCGGCCAGTCGCGCTTGTAGTGCCCACATGCCTTGCAATGATTGATCGGTGATAGAGACTGCGGCCGGTCATTGCTATCCCACGTCCAGCGATGGACTTGACTTCGGTGAAACTTTGTCAATATTTTTTTGCACCACCTTAGGGGCAGTTGGATTGTGACCACGGAAGGCATCCGCGCCAGTTGAACCAGGACGGACATTAAGAGGTAGATATAGCTTCAGGGCTACGTTCTCCGTGCAGACAAAATCTACGAAAGTTTGGCGCACGGAAGCCGATTGCTTGGCGTATTTTGAGTTCCATTTGCGATAGTCATGTTGTCCGTTGCAATTGGTTATATCGCGAACGGAAACTCAAAACGCCCCAAGCAATCGGCTTTCACGCACCAAACGTGCTTACATAGAGTTCCCTACATTTTGGACACATTGGTTGAAGGGCGTCGCAGACCACCAAGCACCCTCGTCGCCGACACAACCGCCTTTCTCGTCTTTCTCCAGCCTTACCAAAGGCATCCTTCTGAGCTGCCTGCAAGTCCTCGGTGACAAAAGACAGCTTATGCGCTTCGTATACAAAAGAAGACAGTGCCTTGTTTCACTGCTGTGTTCCTGTTCGAAAGCATGTGCACAAGGAAGCAGCATCCGTTACCCGCCCCGGGGGAGTCCTCGTTGTTGAAGTAGCCTCGGATGGCCGACAGGTTTTGCCGCCGTACCCGTCGGAGGCTCCGTCTTGGTCACCCACGCCTGGGAACCCAGGCAAGCATCGTCGAAACTGCTTTGTTGCCCTGTCTTCCACGCCAGAACCCCTCTCAAGCTGTCGCTCGTCGTTGCATTTGGCCATAGATACGAGCGACAGCTTGAGAAGGGTTGTGGCGTGGACGACTTGCAACAACCGAATTTCGGAGATGTTTGCGTGGGTTCCCAGGCGTGGGTAACCAAGAGGGAGCCTGCAACAGGTACGGCTGCAAAACCTGTCAGCCATCCGGGGCTACTTTCAACAACGAGGACTCGCCCGGGGCGGGTAATGGATGCTGCTTCCTTGTACACATCCTTTCGAACAGGGCACAGAGTGGAACAAGCGCTGTCTATATTCTCTTCCGTACGAAGTGTACAAGCTATCTTTTGTCACCGTGGAACTGGCAAGCAACTCAAAGGGATGCCTTTGGTACGCTTGAAGGAAGGCGAGAAAGACAATATTGGTTGAAGGGCGTCGCAAGCCACCAGCAGCCGCTTCGCCGACACCACCGTCTTTCTCGTCTTTCTCCAGCCTTACCAACGGCATTCCTTTAAGCTGCCAGCCAATTCGTCGGTGACAGGCGACAGCTTCTGCACTTCGTGCGCAAGAGAAGGCAACACATTGTTCCACTCTGTGCCCCTGTTCGAAAGCATGCAAACAAGGAAGCAGCATTCGTGAGATGCAGCATAGCAACAATGCTACAAGCAAAAGTCAGCGCCGACTTGTAGCACAGTGGAAATGCTGTAGATCTACCGAGTACAACATGTCAAAGGATAATAACAGCGTCACCCTCGAAACCAAGACAAGGTCTGTCGATGTCCTTCGCGGGCCCCGCTTACCGCCGGGCCTACTGAATTATGCCCACGCGAAGAGGCAAATTTCAGTTACTTTTCTTCTTTTTTCTTTCAAAGGAACGCCGCCTGCTCTGTGGTGCGGCACGTTGAACCAGCGATACACAAACTCCGAGTGATTTCCGCAAAGTTCAGGTGCACAACGACAGTGATGTCGAGTGTGCTCTGATCGGGAACGACTCGCAAGTGTAGGACCGCACCTATCTTCACAGAGAGTGACGAGTGTCATACCCGCACAACGCACATCATACGCCGGCATGTCCGGTCCCTCCCAACAAACGGGGAAGAACCGCATCGAACTATTGAATGACTAGCCAAACCGCCCCAATTAAGGCGACAAAAAACGCACAGTTGCCTCACGTACCAGCCCCCGGAGCGCGCCCCCAACCCCCAATGACGCATCGTTTCGAACTACACGTGCGACCTTCTAATAGCCAAAAAAGCTCCAAACGAATGCTGCGCAAGCAACCGCATCAGCATAGAAGTGGTGTATTTCTATCGTAGACCGCCCTAGTTGAAGGAATCAATCACTCTAATTTTTTTTTTGTCCTAATATGACCCATCTAAGGAAAGAGTCCAAGGTAGATCAGCAATGAATCCACGATTTCCCGAGCAGCACACAGCGATATCACAATAGCGATATCACTCTTTTGCGCGCTCCATGTACTTTTTGGAATCGGTGTCAACCCTAATCTTCTCGCCGGTGGTGATGAACAGGGGCACGTTGATCATTGCCCCAGAGGCCACCTTGGCCGGCTGCGGGAAAAAATGTAAGCGCGTGCATCACACGACATTTCAGATGACGCGGCCGGCGGTACAGTAATTAGGGAGGGAGCGGAAGTGAGGCGGGGTGGGCTGGGGGGCGGGGGGACCGTCTGATATTGCTGGCCACGGCCACGTTGCTCGCCACGGCCATTCGACCGTTCGCTTCGAGTATTCAAAGCGCGGAAATAACTGCCGCCATCTACACCAGGCTACCCGTCTTACCACAGACATGTGAGCAACATCGAAATACTATACATCCAAACGACGAAACACAAGTGAGTGGTAGGTGCATCCAGAGCCGAACCCGGCATGTAGACGTCCTTCGCCGGTTGCAATCAATCAAGAACAGGCTTGGCCATTCGACCACCATGTCCCGAAGGCAACGGCTGGCATATTTATAACGAATCCATCGAAACAACGCGGGACGTGGGAGGGTGCTGCCCTGCCAAAACAACTGCTGCCATGTAGTATTTGCTCTCGCCGGACGACGATTTTCGTTCTCTGAACGACAATTTACGTCCTCCGAACGAAAATTTTGGGTTCCCCTAACGATAATTTGCGTTTTCCGAACGATAATTTTCTGTCTCCGAACGACAATTTTTTGTTCTCCGGACGATAATTACCTTTGTTGCTCCCTGCGCGGTGTTCCCCTTCTCCCCGGGGTCCGTTTCCACCACCTCAAGGATCATCTGCTTCGGCAGGGTCACCTCGATCACCTTCCCCTTGAAGTACGTAGCCTGCGCGATGGAGGGAATGGGCGTGGGGAAGAGGTTCGAGGAATCGAAAAGAGGTTGCGTTGGTTGTATGGGTGGGTCACCTGCATAGGGCAGTATCAATCATCGAGACGGTTAGGTACCAAATATGTACCGTACCGTGGTACACCATCTTCGTATTAATGAAGACACTTCACTTGGGGCGAGCAGTTGAGAGCTGGAACTTTCCAGCGGTGCCTCTGAACACTTAAATTGCACAACAAGAGCCACTCTACTCCACCCTACAGCCCCATGATACCTGGACTAGCGCCAATACACAACCAGTTGTTGAAAACCCGTACCACAGCCCTCTCGAAAGAACCAACCGCTGGCCACCTAAGCAAGCCGATCCAAAACCGTCGGCCATCCGCTCGAAGGAGCTAATCCTGCCGCACCAATTTTGTCTACCCGTGTAGCCCGCTCCCTCCCCCTCTACCAACGAAATCATCCGGCCCACGCCAAACCCCTCCGCGGCAAATCAGGGTCAGAAAATGCAAGAGTGTGATGGCCAACTTCTGTATAATCCTCGTCAAACCTACCCTGGGCCGGCGAAAACACGGCATATTGCCCCGTCACAGCATTGTAGGGATGCGGAGCTTCCAGGTCCGACCACTACTGTAACCGCCCCCCCCCCCCCCCCCCCCCCCCCCCCCCCCCCCCCCCCCCCC